AGTGATATTTTTGTAAATGGACACCTCTAAGTGGCATTCTTGCAAATGTGCACACAAAAAATGATATTTTTGTAATTGCCCCTACATTTTTGTTGCAAATTGATGGTTTGTGATAATTTGCTATAAATTTTCAGTTTTGAATATTGGTTCTCGATTTTGAAGCAAATTGTAGCGAGTTTGCCAAAATTTTTTTACAAAGTTATGTTCTCATGATAATTTGTAATAGTTTGATACAAAATATTTTTTAAAGTATTGAAAAAATCCACCAATTGTGACAAACATTTCGTTGCCAATTGTCATAAATGGCTTCAAAATTTTAATCTAATATATATATATATATATCATTCTTATTATATTAAATAAATAACATTTTTTTTTTGAAAAATTAAATAAATAAAGATTTCTATTAAAATAAATAAAAAATAAATAACATTTTTTATATTAAATAAATAACATTCGAAATTTCAAATTATACTATCTTGGATTTATTTAAAAGATTTCTTATTATATAGCAAAAATTGAAAGGGACTATTTTCAATTATCTCTGGTATTTTTATTTCTCATAGAAGTTTTGTCTGTTACTTTTCTATTCACGTAAGAATCAAAATCTAATTTTGTGTGCGCACTCATTATTGATATATATCTTCTCGTCTTCCAATAAGAAAACGACATTGCATATATAGTTATACTCAACTTTTTCCTGGGTACCATTATAAATTATCAGAATTGTATGTTACAAAAATTAGAATTGTTCACATTTTATTAAATTCTTGATTGATCCTCTTACTATTAAAAGGGAAGTACAATTAGTAAAATAGCTTATTTATTTTAATTTTATTGGCCTAAAAATATGACATATCTTTGTAAAAATGATGACATGGTTTATTGCTCAATCCAATAACAAGATTTGTTTATCAATTACGTTGGAAGGAAACAAAGATTAAACACAAAATAGTATTTTTATTTAATCCAAGTGATGTCTTCCACAGAATAATTAACAAAATAGTATTATTATTAT